TGCGACATCCTAGCAGAATAGTCACTGTTGACAGGTTTCTGCAACCGCAAATTCTGGGTGGACCTTATCGGGCGGGCAGACGAAGAACCAAATGGAATGAACAACTGCTCGGTCTCGCTTCGACCATTTTTGGCGACCGTTTCTTCGAAGGAAGAGGAACCGAAGGGATGTAAAGAATAAGATCTTACATGTGGCTGGTGATAGGGAGTGGTGGGCTCGCGTTTTAAGCCAGACTAGAAATAGCTGGCGTCGCCAACGGGAGGGACATCGCAGTCCGCGCCCTTGGCAGCTGAAAAGGGTTTTAGGGTTTGGGGGTTTAGGGTTCAGGGGTTTAGGGTTTTAGAGTTTAGGGTTTAGGGTTTTAGGGTTTTTATGGTTTTAGGGTTTAGGGTTTGAGGGATTAGGGGTTTAGGGCTTAGAGCTTCTTTACGGGGCTCCTGTTCTTTTTAGCACCTCTTCGGGTCTCTAGAGTTTAGGGTTTAAGGGTTTAGGGTTTAAGGTTTAGGGTTTAGGGTTCAGAGTTTAGGGTCGACGCTTCAGGGGTTTAGGGTTTCAGGATTCTTTTTGAGAAGTTGAAGCGCTGATTTTCGAGGTTTCAGGGTTCAGGGTTTACCCTTAAACCTAAACCCTACACCCTACCCTGAACCACTTAGACCCTAAACCTTTAACCTCAAACCCTAAACCCTAAACCCTAAACCTTAAACCCTAACCCTACACCCTAAACCCCAAACCCTACACCCTAAACCCCTAAACCCTCAACCCCACTCCTAGGGCTCGGAAGCCGCTCGGGGCCCCACTTCCAAGGCCCACTTGGAAGCCTCGAAGTTTCAAACGTCCATGTACCCAAATAAGGCTCCTTTAAGGGTTCCTTTAAAGGGTTTCTATAAGGGTACTATAAGACTATAAGGGTTCCTTTGAAGGGTTTCTATAAGGCTGCCCGAAGCGGCCGAACTCCTTAGTAGCAGCCCTTAGGGTTTAGGGTTTAGGGCTTCAGGGTTTTAGGGTTTCAGGGTTTAGGGTTATAGGGGTTTAGGGTTTGGGGTTTAGGGTTTAGGGTTTGGGGTTTAGGGTTTGGGGTTTAGAGTTTAGGGAGTTTTAGCCGCAAGCCCCATTCAAGCAAGTCAGGCTTTCTGTAGAGGTTTGTTGGGGCTTTAGGTGTCTTTCTTCTGCTTCTGTAGCTTCATTGAGCTCCTGATCAACGGCCCAGTGTGTAGTAGAAGCCTAAAGAGTTTAAAGAATATTGGGGCTAGCTTGTGCCGGGAATAGAATACGGTAAATGCCCTGCTTCACCGACAGCCTAGGGAGGTCTCCAAGACTTCTGGCCCGTCTATGGCAGGACCGAGCGTCTTGAGCTGCATGTGATCTTTCAAAACCAAAGAACACGAGCCCAGATCCTGAGTAGGGTAATAGGGTTTGGGGTTTAGGGTGTTTGGTAAAACGAAACCCGTTGAGTTTGAGTCCTGAATGCATGGGTGTGACCAGCGCACATGCGATGTTGGCTGGAGGTTTTTCAAGTGGGTGCTGCAGATGGAAAGTTGGGGCCCTATGGGGGGTTGAACGATTTGGGAGTTTCCGAAAATAGGGGACCCGAATATAGTACCCTAAATAGTAGGACCCTTCTTATAAGGACCCCAAAATACGGTACCCCTAGACCCTAAACCCTAAACCCTAAACCCTAATTTTTGGAAACTCCCATTTCGCATCCTGGGTCCAGGGTTTAGGAATGAAGGCTTTAGGGCTCAGAAATCCACGTGAGCTACAGTCACTGCTATGCACAACCGGGTGTAGGGTTTAGGGTTTAGGGTTTAGGGTTTCATATGGCTCTTTCGGTCAGGCGGCATAGAGGATCCTTGTTGTTTGGCCGGGGCTTGTATTAGGGCCTTTATCTGGGGGTTTCCAAAAATAGGGGACCCTAATATAGGACCCTGAATAGTAGGATCCTTATTACAAGGACCCCCGAAATAAGGCACCAGGCACCCCCTATATTCTGAAACCCATCTGGGTTTGATTCAGGAACCATGTCCTTCTTGTTCATCACTACCTAGACTCTAAGCCATGAGCCCTAAAAACTAAGTAGCTCACGAAGGGCTGTGCTTCAAAGCTGAACCCTTTGGTCGAGATAGATAAGCTTCGGTTGATTGTTGGGTTTGGAATCTAGGAGATCTCCGAACACAAAGCCATCAAATAGTGAAGCCGTATTGTTGAGTTCTCGTTGAGTTCTTGTGAATCAAGACCCCATGACGGGGCGGGTTGAGAAGTAAGAACTTCGCATTTCGCCTTAAACCCTAAACCCTAAA